GGGGCTTTTTGTTTATTTTGGTTTTGTGGTAGATTTGAACCCAAGGGCGTTTCATATTGGAGGCAAGTACTCTATTACTGAGCTAAAATCTCAGCTGTTGAACATGATACTGCACCTATGAGAGGGTCCTAAGTGCTTTGTATTTCAGGGTATTGAATCATAGGATATTGTAGCTTTCCAAGGAGTAGTGATTTTTCCAACCATAGCTTGTATTGGAATCACTAGAGAGCTGGCCAAACCATGGTACTGAACCATATGTAGTTTCTGATTCAGTGGATTCAGGCTGAACCCAGGAATTTGTATTTCTGACAGATTTGGTGCTGCTTGGTGGTGGTGGTCTGAGATACACTTTATCTTTTATTACTTTGAATACTTAACCAAATAACTGGAGTTTTTGTTAACTAATGTCTAGTTTTAGGTGGATTTTCTTGGGAGGAAGTTGACAAGTAGTTGAATGCTGTTCCTAAATTCTTGTGACTTATTGTTAATATCACACACTCTCTCCCCTCCTTTGGCTCACTGAGTACTTTTGCCTCTGTGACAGCTTTTCTGGTTTTTGGTTTTTTTGAGACAGGATTTTGCTATGCAGTGCAGGCTGGCCTCAAACTCACAGTGATTCTTCTGCCTCAGTTTCTCAAGAGCTAGGATTTGTGACAGCTATTGATGAAGAATATTTGCTATTGTATAACATTAGCAAAGAAAATTTTGTGTAGTGTTTGTTAAGTAGGAAGTAGAACCAATTTTTTTTTTTTTTTTTTTTAATGTAACTAGTACAGGGTCTCACTACACAGATCAGACTCATAGTGATTATCCTGTTTTCAGCCTCCCAAGCATTGGGATTACGTGAATGCCATCACGCCCAGTCTCAATCACTGACTCAGTGTGCCCTGGGGGCGGGGCTGGTGGCAAGCTGGGGATCAAATCCCAGTCCCTGTGTCTGCCTAAGCAGGTGCTTTTAATCCATTGAGCTATCTGGCAGGCCCTAGAACCATTTTTTTTTTTTTTAAAATCTGTATTGATACCTCGAAGTGGCATTTATAGTATTTCTGAACCATATTAGTGCAAAGTTTAAAAATCATTAGTGTTTACTGGCTTCTGCCTGTGTAAATGTCTATAAGTGCCTGGTTTTACAGAATAAAAGTTGTAGTTATGACATAGAGAAACTGAATCTCCCTTTAAACGGGTTTCTTAGAGTTGGGGGCTGGGTCTTTGATACTTCCATGTCTCATGAAGTGAGTGAAACTTCTGATCCTGCCTCCTTGCTGCATTCCAAGTTGGCTCATTGCTGCTGCTGAATCAGCAGTAAAGCTCTTCAAGTAAAAAGACCCTTTTCCTTGTTTCTCCCCACATGCCTGTTCTTTTGGAGGCCAAATTCTACTTGGAGGACACCCTGCTGAGAATGTTAATTAACTAATATTAGCTACTTTGCAAACAGGTGGGAAGCCTTAAGAAATTTATTGGCTTAAGGTATTTGCTAAAGTTAATAAGCTTCAAAAATTAAATTTTGAAATTAGTTACATTTTATATCATAGTAAATTTCATTTTGATTAGCTTTGGTTCTTGTTACTTGATTGTTTTAATGTTACTACTTAGAAGTAAGATTTCTAAGACTAACACTTTGAACTTTGGTGGGGGATGGAGTGTCACATCTTGAATTCCATGTTGCTCTGGAGTCCCTGTAAAGAAGATAAATTGACAGTCGGTATATTCAAAGGCAGGAGGGCTCATGAACTCACAATTACATTTTTCAACTCTGGCAATACTTTTGCATTTCTAATACAAAAAAAAAAAAGCAGAATAACAAAACATGGAAGGTAAATGTAAAAGGTGAAGTTAAAAAGAGGACTACCATATGATAGAATACTAGACTGTGTTAACTTTATACTTCATTAATAGAAAAACCTTTATATGCAGTTAGAACCCAGACTCAGGAAGTTGTATAATTAATTATGGATGGGGGCAGATAGAAGAAATTAAGCCTGTAAAAATCTAGTTATTCATTCAGTGGATTTTACTGTTGAAGACTGTAAGTTTCTACTGAGGACACCATTTGAAACATGCATGTTACAGAGCCTTTTTAAAAAAAAAATACCCATTTGATTTTGGGAGAATCTGATGTGTATTTCCATTGCTGAAAGTCACTATCAGATGTCCACAACTTCTAGGAAGAAAGCTTTCCTTTCATCATGGTTCAGGAGACTGAGGGCATATTTATCTGGCTCCAGTGCAGACACCACGTGGCCGAAGGGCATGGTTAGTTCATGGCAGCAGGAAGCAGAGCTAAATTCAGATCCATTTTTACATGTGTTGCAGATTTTTTCCAGTTTGTATCTGAGTGTAATTTTTAAAAATTTCTGGGCTGGAGAGATGGCTCAGTGGTCTAAAGCACCTACTTAGAACAAGCTTAGCAAAAGCATCAGGGACCGCGGTTCAATCCCCCAGC